ATAGCTTGAAACAAAAACCTTTGTATGATCTCCTATGTGGGTACAATATTGCCTTCCCAGTCAGCATCAATAAATCCCTCCAAATTTAAATTGTCTTGTTCAAATTTTAAACACATACCTACTTTTAGTTTTTTGCAAAATCTCAAAATACGTTTAGCATGATTCCAATGAGATTCATCAAAGGAGTTGGTAAACTGACTCAGGTAGCTTACGCTATATGATATATCTGGCCTAGTCATGACAGCAAGAAACATAAGACTACCTATCAACTGATGATATGGCGCAAATTACATGTTTCTTGACTTTTTTCTGAATTTAAATTAACTATTCAAAGGCGTATTGCAATTTACCATATTGAATTTATCCAAAATCTGATTGTTAGAATTTTCTTGATCCAAAATCAAAAAACCTTCAGTTTTATTTATATTAACATTCATGCCCAAACATTGCTTAACTTGACCTAAGTCTTTCAATTTGAAGATGAAACCTAGCTTACCTTTTGAATTCTCAATATCCTATTCATTATTTGAAAAAATGAAAAAATCATCTACATAGAAAGCTACATAAGTCAAAGAATTGTCTAAGCATTTCATAAACACATAAGGTTCAATTTCTGACGGCGTATAGTCTATTTCTGAAAGAAAATCCATAACTCTTTTATCCCATGCTCTAGACGATTGTTTCAAACCATATATAGCTCGTTTGAGTTTGCATAACTTTATTTTCTGAATCAACAAAACCATCTGGTTGAGCCATAAATATAGGCTTGTCCGAAAATTCGTTAAAAAAAGCAGTACAAATGTCTAAATATACAATATTTGAATCAAGTTTTACAGAAAGAGCAAACAACAATCTCAATGTACTATACCTTACAATAGGTGAGAATGTTTCATCAAAATCAATAAATCAATATCCTTTTTCTAGATAAATCCCTTGGCCACTAATCTAGCTCGATGACACACTTTGCCTCCACTGTTAACTTTTCTTTTGAACACCCACTACAGTACCTTCTTGTGGTAGATCCACCAAGTCCCACGCATCATTTTCAGTGAAAGACTGGAGTTCACTAACCATGGCCTGCTTCCATGCTTGACTTTCTGGTCTTGAGAGAGCTTCTTGTACAGTAAGAGGCTCACTATCCATTTATGTAGCATGTTCTCGATTATCTGAACTGGCGCATGCGTAGACAACGTAATCATCAAAATTTTTCATTTTAGATGTCTTGTTGCCAGAATCTGGAACATTTTCTTCAAAAATTTCAACTATCTTCTCATCAGGATGATTAGATGGTTGCTATTCAATCTGAACTACAATTTCATTGTTATTTTTTCATATCTGCTATTATCACAACGTTTCTACTTGCAGTAATTGTGTTCTTTAATGGATTAGAAAGTTTGTAGCGTTTAAATTCTCGCCAAAACCAACTAAAATCATTTCTTCTGTCTTCTTATCCAACTTCAATCTTTTATTCTTCGGAATATAAACCATCACTCTGGATTCAATAAATCTCAGGTGACTCAAATCTGGTTTAGTTCCAGTCCATACTTCAAATGGAGCATTTAAACCTGAAGCTCTTCATCGATTGTGAATGTGCACTGCTGAATTGATTGCTTCAGCCCAAATTCTTTTGTCCAGCTTAGCATCAAAGAGTGAACACCTTGCCTTTTCAATCAGTGTTCTGTTCATTCGCTCGATTAAACCATATTGCTCCGGCTATTGGGATTTGTAGCCTTATTTTTATTTAGAAAGTCATTAAATTTCTCGCTACAAAACTCCCCGCCATTGTCAGATCTGAAGACTTTAATTCTGAATTCTCTTTGGTTTTCGACCAACGTTTTAAATCCTTCGAAACACTTCAAAACCTCATCTTTGCTTTCCAAAAAATACGTGAAACACATTTTGGAAAAATCGTCCTCGATTGCTTAAAAATATCTAGAATCTCCAATCGAAGCTACCTCCATGGGTCCGCATGCACAACTTCAAGCAAAGCTTTGGCTCTGGTACCACTATGAAAGGGCAATCTTGCTTGTTTTCCTTGATAAAATGCAATACAATTTTTCCTTGACAAACCAAACCATCAACAACACAATTATCTTTTTCAAGTCAGTAAAATTCTCAGTAAACATTGTCAATCAAATCTGCAGTAGCTAAAAGATCATTTTCACAATCATTTTTGTTGAGTTACAGAAAACAGTTTTGTCGTCAATCTAGGAGCACATAGAGCATTTTTGATTCAATTGCTTACTCACTCTGGACTGAACACTTATATTTCCTCTGCATGTTACTCGTACCTTTCTTTGATCAGCCCGTAATTCTTCAACATCAGAATCTCTGATATCCTGTAGAACTTCTTCCAAAACAGAAATGTGTGCACTTGCTGCTGAATCTATGTAAACTGAGAAAGACAGATCAATCGTTCTCGTGAGAACGCTGTTCCCCGGTTTCGAGAATACACACACTGAACTGATTGAACCGTGTTCTTTCGATTTTGGATCACTTCTCCCACCATACCCATCAAATGGTTGCAGTCAGTTTATTTCTAGCCCCAGAATTTTTACGTTCACTTCATTCAGATCATTTTTAAGTCAAAATCAGCTGATATAGATTCTTGGTCATTCCGTGCGATAGAAATGAGCGAAGATGCGAAAATAAAAATCAGTTTCAGTTGAATCAGATTAGTTTGTTCAGTTCGATAAGATCGAAAGAATACCCATATTGCCACCATTATAACCACCATGGTTGCCACTGTTACCAGCTTTTCTGTAGCCATTCCGAAATCTGCTTGCAGTGCCCTCTGCATTACCGACATTCAACTCCAATAATTTTGTTTTGATGTTGTCCATAGTGATCTTAATTCCAGAATTTTCCAAAAGAATCGAACCGATGTCAAACCCTGTTTTTTGTTATTTTTGACTCGTATGCACTTGCTTTCGTACAACTTGCTTTATATAATTTTCCATGGAACCACAATTCTCTAATCGTAACGAGATTAGGGTCCGTTATAATCGCACTTTTTGCAGCACTTGGCTAATCTGAACTTTCTCTGTACTCAATGGGATTTTTCTTGCACTTTTGAGGATTGGGTTCCAAATTTGGTTGAGTTTTAGTGTTTCTTCCTTCCTGTTGAAGTTCTCTGTATGTTTGTCGCTTTCTATAGCTCACGTACAAGACAATTATGGTATCCGGAAGTCGGTGCAAGAAGCTTGACTTCAGCAAATAGTATTTCGTGATTCCCTTGACTAAGCGCATGTTCCGCTACTGCCGATTTTTCTGATTATCCTAGTCTGCAGTTTCTTTTGTGCTCGTTGATCCTGGTTCTCATAAATATTTCTGTTGTTCCTATGTATACCTTACCACATGTGCATGGTATACGATAGAGTACAGCGCTTGACAATGGGTTCCTCTTATCCTTGGCTGATCTGATTAAACACTGTATTTTCCTTGTTGGCTTGAAGATCGTTTTTATGTTGTTTCTTCAATAATTCCTTGTCCTTGTTCAGTACTGACTTTAATCTCCTCCGCTGGCAGGTGCTGTGAAGTGATTGCAAAATTACCGCTTTTTGCCAAGACGGCTGTTTCCTCTTCAGTTCCTAGGCCACCTGCACGCGCAACATCCTAGCATACAATTTACCATGGAAAAGGAGAAAAACCAAGAAATCGCCTTCTTAAGGTACGGTTTTTTAGGATAGTACGCGACGCACAACCATAGAATCGCACAACTGACAACGTAAACGTCGTCATTGGTTCAGGACGACGTACACCCGTTTTCTGACGTCAGAGTCAGCAATCCTGAAATCGACAGGGCCATGCGACCCAAAACGGCCACAGGACAAAACGTGGATGAACAACCAGTAAGGACTGATGCATATCTGCCATTCATTTCTCGGATGACAGGATAGGTAAAGTCTTGAAGAATCACAACATAAAAACGATCTTCGAGCCAAAAAGTAAAATACAGCAATCAATCAGATCAGCCAAGGATAAGAGGAACCCACAGTCAAGCGTTGGCGTCTATCGTATACCATGCACATTTGGTAAGGTATATATAGGAAGAACAGAAAGGTCCATGGGAACCAGGATCAATGAGCACAAAAGAAACTGCAGACTAGGATCATGAAATACTATTTGGTGAGGTCAAGCTTCTTGCATCGATCTCCGGATACCACAATTGTCTTCTACGTGAAGCTATAGAAATCCACAAACATACGGAGAATTTCAACAGGAAAGAAGAAACACTAAAACTTAACCAAATCCGGAACCCGATCCTCGAAAACGCAAGAAAGATGCTATCGAGTACAGTGAAACTTCAGATTAGCCACGTTCTGCGAAGCCCCGCCTCACCTACCAAAACCACTCACACATAAATACAACTTGCGGCCGGGAACGCGTTATTCTGCTATAACCAGAATCGGACATGAAAGCACCTCTGAAGATGCTAGCCATGCGTGCTAGCGAAACGTCAGGAGAAAATCTAACTTACGATGGCCATTAAAGGGGGTGTGACCCTGAAAACGACTTAAGCTACTTAAATCAAAAAAAAATCTAAGATCTCTCATGAAAACCGCAGTCCTTTATTCAAAATAGTCTCCGAGAAATTTCTTGTGTAGATGAATTATGCAGGAACTTGTGATGTCATAACCGCCGAAAGCTCAAATTAATACACCTATAATTATTGGCTTACTGAAGTCCAATATTTGACACCAAATTGTTATAGGAATTACGCGGGTATAATAAAAACTCAACTAATTGGCCTAACTTCGTAGAAGTCAAAACCTAGACATAATGAAACTATGGTTTTCCTTTGGCCCGTACCTGACAAAGTTCATTAAATGTGGTTGGATGCAAAAATGACCTTGAAACCTATTAAATAAAATCCTACTTAGAAAATAATTACTTTCGAAGAAATTAAATATAATGTGAAAGTGTCAGTCGTTTAGAAAACTTTGTTAATAACTCACAATTATGTTTTGCACATTTCAATGTTAAGCTAATGGTCTTACCTAGGATTACCGAATCTCTATTCGGAATGACATAGCAAGCGTCCTCATCATCGTCGCATTGAATTAGATAAGTAATGTACTGCCAGGGCGCATAAACCCGTATAACTTGGCCCCTGATGGGAACAATTGACCTGTCACATGATAAATTTCTGGCCTCAAGTCCAGTGCAATTTACAATTACGTCGAAATCTTCCAATTCGTTAAATCTTTGAACGTGCTTTTCTATTATTGTCCCGCCATTTCGGAGAAACTGTTTCTAGGAAGGAAATAGAATGTGCAATTATTTTTATGAAAATGTCTATACTTATTCTCTTTCAAAGAAAAATCTAGTCCTTATCTTGATATACTAACCTGTAAATGGGGTAAAAATAAAATCGGTTCCCAAGTAAATCCCATAAACATAAATCCTCCAGTAAAACTTTGGTTATACTGTTTGCTCAAACTTTCTAAGTGACGTACTCCGAGTTCGTTGTATCCAAGGGTAACACTGACCCATTTTGGCGTATTATAATTTTTGCAATTGAATAAATTTACTGCTGGCTGCAGGCAAATTCCTGCATCTTTGGCTTTGCCTAGAAAACAGTTGGCTATGAAACTTCCTTAAAGTTTAAAAATTAAAAGCGTTTATAATGGTTTCTAATCAAATCCTTATTGGTAAACTAAATCACCAAACTGAATAAGATTATTCAATTTGTGCTACTCCAGGGAAAGTGTCGTTCAAGAAGAATAGATTTTCTTTATATTCAATTTAACAAACAGACCATTTTCGTTTTTTTTTTTAGATCCTAATGATTCGATTTTATTGCAGGGTACAAAGATCATATTTATTCTATATTGTAGAAAGTTATATTAGGGCTTAAACTTCATGCAACAGCAAAAAATATTCTGGATGAAAATAACTTGTATTTTATCAATAAATAGGTTATTACTTTGGCCATTGAAAATTTCAATTTAATTTACCCATTCCAACTTTTTGAGGAGAAAAGTTTAATATTAATATTATACCTTCATCGATCTATCGCATCTCGCAACTGAGGTTCCATTGTTTTAGTTCTGAGTTCCATCTGTGATCTTACTGTCTGGCAAGGCATCCTGCGAAACTCCATTTTAGATGCGTGGCGGCGAACCGTAGATGATTTATTCGTTTGCCGTTTATATATTTATGTCAAAAGTCAATTGAATACATTCTTCACTTTCAGCGCGAACAGTTTTGGTGATATAACATCTACCTGTCTGACCTTAATTTTGATTGGAATGAGATTGGTGTTATCTTCCAGCTGTAATGTCAAAGTAGCATGCCTATAGAGTTTTTCATTGCTTTTTCTCAAGATGCTAGCGACAGCAGATGATATTCGTCGGCTTTTTCTCTAAGAATTTTTCATGAGGGGGTAGTTGGTCAGAAGTACTAAACTTTGGCAGATTTTGTCAGGTGATGAGCAATTGGTGATGCTTTCCATGAACACTTCGTATGGGTAGATATTGGAATAGAAGTACCTATAGCTTCTGATTTCAGTCCTATCACCTTTTTTGAAAAGAACTACGAGGTTATTATTCCATATTTCTGCTATTTCAGCGTCCTTTAGAGATAGGTTGAAAGTCTCTATAATATTGATAGAAAAACTCTTTCAGCATTCCAACAATCACCCAAAATTTGACAATTTTGACGTTACCAGTTTTTGTGCTGAAATATGTAAATTACAAAAAACTAAAAAGATGTCGAAGAAAAGTGATAGCCGGGGTTCCAGAATCTCAAGTGAGGAGTCAATAACTGTATCAAATATTGCGTTAAAGTTTTGAAAGCCGAAAAAAACATATGTAGAAACTGTCTTTCTGATAACACAGAAAATGCATTTCTTCGACGACGTTGCACTTTATTCAACTGCTACTGTTCAGCTTTTTCTAGGTTTTCAATAACAATAACATGTATTAAATTATCCATAATTTTTACCTTTTCATAAGCCAAATGCCTATAATAATAATAAACTCACGTCAGGATGACAATTAATTGAAAAAAAAAAACTCGTCGCATATGGCACTCGCTGTGAAGCGAATGCAGTTAACGTGCGTTCGTTAAGAAACGTGTGACCAAAAATTGAGTTTTTCCGTTTTTCGCAAAAATGCAAATGATGTTAGCGTTTTCGTTATTTAGCGAGTGGTGAAAAACTGAGCCCCTGGACCTATGCAAAAAGTGATTGTCCTACTGTACTGTATCTATCATAACAAAATGCGCACTTATTTCTGACTCACCGTGTATATGTACAACTGCTTACCTACTTCTTATTACAATAGCAGCTACCTATGATAAGGAATTGCCAAGAATTACATCAATACGGATAACTAAGTTCAAATAAATACGTTATCTTGGAACTTATCAAAATTCCATTTTTTGATGAGGTCAGTCAACAAAACGCTTTTAGTTGCTTACGCTTTTTGCACTGTATAAAATTTATAAAATACGGCAACTTATTTAAACAAACCTTCTTTCCATAGCTTCAATATAAAATCAAAAGTCGCCTTAGACCATCGAATAACATCTTCCTCATCATTTTCAGCTAATAAATACGGCTCCCAAAGTCCCGCAGCAATATCACTCGTTGTCTTTGGACTGAATTTATCTGCAACTATTGTAACTTTGGCTATTCCGCCATATTTTTTCTGAATTTCTAATGCTGTAGTCACACCTATAACACCACAGCCTATTACTGCTATATTATACATTGTCTTTTAAACTACAAAATATTTCACTCTCAAACTAAATGATGATAACACTAATGATTTTAATTGCTTGATAAAATTAATTATGTTTTGATATAAATATGGCTATTTTTGAATAATAATCTATAACATGACTGAATAATATTTTTAGCTTTTAGTCAATAAATAGGTTGCTCCGAATTTAATTGAAAACATTTTTGAATATTCTGTACCTACCAACTTTATGCATGTTTTATTTTATAAATTAAAGTGCAATATGAAACTTTTCAAAATTTAACAATTTTAAATTATTTAGTATAAAACTAATTTCTTATTTTATTAAACTTTATCAATGTTTTATTTACAAAACAAATAATTACGGCACAGTGAGTAAATAGCAAAGCTATGGTTTTTGTTTGAAAAATATTTCTGACAATAAATGTTCACTGAAATTAAATAATAATTAAATGAATAACACTTTGGTTACCTACTAACAATATGCTCAAAATAATTTTTCTATGTACAGTCTGACACACGAATGAACCTTGGCGGCGTGTGAATAGTGCTAACTCGTTACAAGTTTTCCAGAAGGTTTCTCTGGTAGACCAACGTGGCTGCCAAGTGTTACCAATTCGCTTCCAACCAGTGTTTGGGTGATGCAAGTGTCTGCTCCAGTTGGTCGCATTTTCCCCACAACAGAGCAGCTTGATAAATTGCTCGTTTAGCGTGTTTTTATGATGTTCTAATGCTTCCTCTTGATTATTTGATGATTTTGACAAGCCAAGTAGATTATTTGCTCCAGAGCATCCTGAGTTGGAGGAATAGATGTTAAAACCTTGTCACCGCTGCAAAAAAGAAATTGTCGCGCCTCGTTAACGAGGGCTATATTTTTTTGGTTCGTATACATTGATACAGTAAACTTTTCCAATTGGTTGAAGACTGAATCATCCAATTCTGGATTTTTTTTCAAGTACGTGTGGCATCCAATGGTTTTAAATGCCTGAGTATATTCTTCCGTCCAAGCTGACCAAGCTGTGCGCTTTCCAAGGGATGCAAAAAAAGATACAGAATCAGATACAGAGCCTCTGCTTTATCCTGACCTATTGTATGAAGAAAATTCACCAATGCATAAATCTTAAGGTATATTTTATGAAATTTTGTGCATACCTAAACGTTCAGCAATTGAATGAGCAGCAATAATTCGACGTTTTGCACCGACGCCGAACAAGTACCACATCTTACAAATTCCAGCAACTTTCAAAGAATGGAAAAAAGAAATTCCCAAAAACTAATACGTCTGTGTCAGAGCAGCAAACAAGAACATTTTTAACTCCGTTGTTAACTATATCGATGATGTGAAGCATTTTTCCATCCGCTTCCTCCATAGCTGTACAACTAGCTCCATGAAGTTTTGTACTCATTTCTCTGTTTGAGCGAAATTCTTTTCCGACATTCGTTTTTTTGTCTCCAATGTCTTCAAGAGACAATCGGTCAGAAAAGGAAAAAGCTCAGATTTGTTCTGAGCATTTTGAAGGTATTTATCCCAGTTGGATGGAATCCCACCTCTCATAAAAGGAACAAGGCTTATTTCATTAAAACAACGCATATTTTGAGAAAATAAAAATTACCCTTCAACCAACCTTTAAGTGGTAAATCTTGCTGGCGCACTCCTTTTCCTCGTTCATCTCGAGCTTTCTTGATGCTGTCTGGAAAATATAAATCCCAAGCGATGTCCACTCTATCAGCCTTGAATTTCTCAGCAGTTGAGAGCACGTGAGGTTTAAGCTATACATTACAATATTCCAAAATATTTTTCACAGACTTATTCGGTTTAATTTGATGAACAAGTGCCGCCCCGTCAAAAATAACTGCGTCGCAAACTGGAAAAGTTGGCGTATCTTCGCTAATAACAAGTAGAATGTTTTTACAAAGATAAGAAAGGCTTGTAAAAAGTGTTGCTTTTGAGTACTTGCTCTCCGAAATGAGGTTCTCGAGAATTGGAAGCAATTGGGCCTTGGAACCTGACCATAAACCACCATTAAGAGGAAGAGCTGGTGGGTGGATTTTCATATTGAAAAAATTTAGTTAAATCCAAGTTTCTCGCTGTACTTATGATGAACAACCGTGAGAATAGATGAACGTCTTCTTTGAGGCTTACAACCAAATTTTTCGTGGTTTTCTCCCGTGGCAACGTAAAAATTCTCGACTCAACTCGGGGAATTACATTATATAGAGACTTTTTGCGCTGTTTCAATCTCGTGATTACAAAATCCTCGTAAAGAAATCGACCTTTTTCCTCAAAATTGTACAGATTAGTGATTGCCATACAGCTAGCTGCATGACGCGTGTCCAAAGAGATAAGTTCTGCGTTGTCGTTGGTAAATGAATTTTCGAAATGCAGAAAACTCTCTTTCAGAGCAGAACAATCGTTGATGTATTTCTTCTGGAAATGTTTAGTCTGCTCATGGTGCAAATCGCATTTCTGTAAATAGGGAGTAAACTTCTCGAGCAAACGGCGAACCTCTGGTCCTCCAATAGTCCAGCGCCGTAGAGCTGATGGATCTTCAGTAAGGCCAACTGCACTGCCATTTCCTTTTATGTCAGCGTTAATCTATTTATGAGCAGGGTCTATACCGAGAGCAGAATGAGCATTTCCAGTCTTATTGACAACAAATTTCCCTGTAACAATAATAAGTACAATTTATATAATGTACTTGATTTTTTTCTCAAAATAAATACAAATATTAAAAGTTGCATTGTGTACAAACCAGATTCGAAGCTTTTGAGAACGTTGTGTGCTTTCTCATGCAAAGTCATCATATCAAATAAATGGACAGGTGACCACCTTGAGTAATTATGGTGGTTGAAGGCGAAGAACAGTGGAATCATAATCTAGGTATCTTTGTATGCTTTAAAATCACCTCGTCTCACAGATCCCAAGAAAGCCAGAAGCAAAATCTGCATGTTGAGGACGGTCAGCCAGTACTTGAATATTGGTCTTTTTTTAGCCTTCTCTTCTGCCCATATTGCTATGGGAAGATTAGGGTCTGCGTCCGAGTTCTCGTCAGTTGAACCTTCTGAAACCCTTCAGCTGACACTGCTGATGAAACTTCCGAATGAGATATAATTGTTGTCCAGCCACTGCCTTCGAGAAATTGTCCCAAAACCCTTAAAAATGCTTTCTCGATGTGAAGGGGACCCAACATTGAAACAATATGGCTCTCTCCGTATTTTTCCGGCCAGTTCTATTGAATTGCTTTGAGAATTTCATACATCTGTCAAAACTGGTATTCCAACAATAAATTGACATGTTTTGATTGTTGATTTGAAACAATCAGATTGTAATTACGCGATAATTTGCACTAGTGCAAATTATCAGATAATTGCATACGAACTGGTGCGAAAATTGGTGTTTTGACATTTTTTGACAAAAAATTTAAATTTTTGATTTATGAAATTCTCGTTTATTGTTGGAAGGTTAGTTTTGACAGATGTATGAAATTCTCAATAGTAATATAACTCGTGCAATGGAAATATATTTTTAATTTTCGACAAATTTGCACTCATGCGTTTTTAACTGAAAAAGGCACTCGTGCACTACGTGCACTCGTGCTCTTTTTTAACTAAAAATGCATTCGGGCAAATTTCCCAAAAATTATCAATAATTTCCATTGCACTAGTTATATTACTATTGAGAATTTCATACATCTGTCAAAACTAACCTTCCAACAATAACCTGACATGTTTTGATTGTTGATTTGAACCAATCAGATTCGAATTACGCGATAATTTGCACTAGTGCTTTAGTTTTTGAGAAAATCAAGAAAAACTAAGGGACTGCTAGGTTTATAAAAGCTAGCAGTCCCCTATAGTGAAAAATATTTTTCCAAAAATTTCTTTTGTATCAGAATTAGGTGCTTTTTAGGTGCTCCTAAATAGTCGAAGAAAAAATAGAATTGATTGATTATTAACTGAGTTACAGATTTTTTTTTTAATTATTAGGGGACTGCTGGCTTTACTTTTACATGTCGGCGTGTCAGAATGGCAAAAAAACTTCGGGATCTATATAATAATTAAGTGCTTTTTAGGTGCTAATTAGGGCCTCTAATAAAAAATTAGGTGCTCCTCTAGTTTTTGAGAAAATCAAAAAAAAACTAAGGGATTGCTAGGTTTATGAAAGCTAGTAGTCCCCTATAGTGAAAAATATTTTTCCAAAATTTTCTTTTGTATAAGAATTAGGTGCTTTTCAGGTGCTCCTAAATACTCGAAGAAAAAATAGAATTGATTAATTATTAACTGAGTTACAATTTTTTTTTTCAATTATTAGGGAACTGCTAGCTTCACGTTTACTTGTTGGTGTGTCAGAATAGAAAAAATATTCGGGGTCTATATAATAATAATAATTAGGTGCTTTTTAGGTGCTAATTAGGGCTACTAATTAAAAACTAGGTTCTCCTTTAGTTATTGAGATAATCAAAAAAAAAAAAACAAAGGGACTGCTAAGTTAATGGAAACTAGCAGTCCCCTAATTATTAAAAAAAAAATCTGTAACTCAGCTAATAATTAATCAATTCTATTTTTTCTTCGACTATTTAGGAGCACCTAAAAAGCACCTAATTCTGATACAAAAGGAAATTTTGGAAAAATATTTTTCACTATAGGGGACTACTAGCTTTCATAAACCTAGCAATCCCTTAGTTTTTTTTTTTTTGATTTTCTCAAAAACTAGAGGAGCACCTAATTTTTTAATTGAAGGCCCTAATTAGCACCTAAAAAGCACCTAATTATTATATAGATCCCGAAGTTTTTTTGCCATTCTAACACACCTACAAGTAGACGTAAAATCAGCAGTCCCCTAATAATTGGAAAAAAAATCTTTGACTCAGTTCATAATTAATCAGTTCTATTTTTTCTTCGACTATCTAGGAGCACCTAAAGAGCTCCTTATTCTGATACAAAAGAAATTTTTGGAAAAATATTTTTCACTATAGGGGACTACTAGCTTTCATAAACCTAGCAATCCCTTAGTTTTTTTTTTTGATTTTCTCAAAAACTAGAGGAGCACCTAATTTT